ACTCTCAGCCTCTAGAGGCTGCACTCTGGCTCTAGTCACAGAACAAGACAACCACGTCTGCAAAGCTGGCAGGGAAATCTCCCTCCAGTCAGCTATGGCAGTCTCGTATTACATAACCTGTTAAACAATTTTGGCCTAAAACCGGCCACTGTACTCCCACACTTGGATTCCTATGGATAAGCTGGAATCGTACATGGTAGGCTGTTTTGCTGCGCTGGTTGCTAGGTTACAGCCAATCACAGCATCTAGGCTTCAGTCAATCACAGGCATCCCACCTTTAAAAATCTGTGCTAATGCAGACAAACTTCAGAATGTAACCAATGATTTCTCTACCTCATTCCCTCACTTAACGTTTTTTGGACAACCCTTTCCCTTTTTTTTCTTTTTTTGGAGAGGTTTTTTGCTATAGGGCACAGTGCGCTTGCCAGACTGACAGAGAGAGACAGAGAGACAGAAAGCGAGAAATCACCCCCCAGGGGTGATGGTCACGCTGCAATCCCTTCACCTCCATTCTCCTCTCGGGATCTTGGACATGCACGCACACGCGCCTGGCCTGAGTTTAAGTCACCGGGTCCAGGACTTGAACTGCGGTCGACTACGTGGGAGTCCAGCGACATAGCCATTGCAATAACTGCTGGTTCCAACCCTTTCCCTTTTACTGCACACGTCACTTTCCTGTTCCGTGACTTAAATACCGAGTGGACCATGAGGCTAACCGGAGTTGTCCAGAAGTTGGGGACAACTGCCTGATTCAAATCCTGCTAACATTTGCTCAACACAACTCTACTTTATTAAATTGGTTTATTTTTCTTTTAACAAACCTAGTCCATGCAATGATTATCCCATAATATTCACAGATCTTGCCCACTCTAACGGACGGAGATCATAGAGAGTGGACACATATGGGGGCAGAAATTGGGGTGGGGGGAATCGTCTTAGCACTTAACCCAGCTTTGCTCAGCCCTTGCTTTCAACCTGAAGTCTGACTCTTTGCTGACCCTGGGTGCTGTCCCTGCTTCAGGCTTCATATAATCCCCGCTGTCCTCGTATGCACCAGGGCCTCCCGTGTCTGGTCCTTGGCTAGACTATGACTCAGCCTCCTGGTTGCTGGCTGCATAGCCACAGTCTTGGAAAGACCAGATTATTCTCCCAGGTGTCTCTCAGCTACCTGCCCCAGGCACTGAGTGTACCTGTCTCGGCCAGCCCGAGGTTGTTCAGCTCTTTCTGGGTAGGATTCAGAATCTGCAGGCCGCAAAGGCCAGTTAAGGCAGTGAATTCCAACAACGACCACCAACCACTAGCAGTGACTTCCTGGCTCCTCCTCCCTCTTTTCGGCCTCTGATTCCTCAGTCTTGAAGGGCCCCACAATGATTAATACTACTCTTCATTATCTCTCCTGGATCTTTTCGGCCGCACACAGTCCTCTTTAGAATCAGAATGACTAAGTTATTAGTACGATTCCTTTCCTAAATGTCTTAGGCATGCCAAAAAGAGATGTTGGTTTTAAGAGTGTCTCTTTAAAAGTTTTCCTGTCATCCTCACCCTCCTAGCCCCCACTTTTCCACCAATCCCCCACAATAGGAGTTACTGTCTACCCAGGAAAAAAAAAAAACAAAACTCTAAAAACTGTCTTTTTAGTTTTTGCAACCCTATTGGTAATGCTAGAGGTATTTCTTCCCCCTAAGAAAAGTATTTCATGAGTCATCAGGAGACCATAATCCTGCAACCACATCTGAGACCATGAGTATTTTCTTACTAAGAAAATGTAGATTTTTTTTTTTTTGAGAGGTTTTTGCTATAGGGCACGTGTGCTTACCAGAAAGACAGAGAGAGAGAAAGAGAGACAGAAAGTGAAAAATCACCTCCCAGGGGGGATGGCCACACCGCAATCCCTTCTCTTCCATTCTCCTCTCGCGATCTTGGGCACGCCCACACACGTGCCCGGCGTGGGTTTAAGCTACCAGGTCCAGGACTCGATCCGCGGTCGACTACATGGGAGTCCAGCGACATAGCCATTACGCTAACTGCTGGTCCCAAAAATGTAGATATTTTGAAAATTTACCTAGATAGGCCTGAGATATTTTCAGGTACAAATTTCTCTTCGATGCAAATTAAAACTGCTTTAATTTTTTATATGTAGATCACAATGGTTAAATTACATAAACACACAAGTAGGACACCAAATAAAATTGCAAAGTCCTTTATGTTCGGGGCTAAGAATCAAACTCTCATTTTGTCTTTACTGTGACTGCAATTTTTTTTTTTTTTTTTTTTTTTGCCATAGGGCATGTGCACTCACCAGAGAGAGAGAGAGAGAGAGACAAAGAGAGGGAAAGTAAGACTCACTCCCCAAGAGGGGATGGCCATGCAATAATCCCCTCTCCTTCGTTCTCCTCTTAGGATTTTGGGCATGCACCTGCATGTGCTCTGAGTGATTCTCAAGCTGCCAGGTCTAGGACTGGAACCGTGGTCAGACATTTGGGGTCCAGAACCTTAACCACCATAGCACCTGCTGGTTCCAACGATTGCAATTTTTACAGACGATACCAGGTGAAGAATCTTCCTTAAATCAACCATTGTAAATATTAACGTCTCTCTATATTTAGGTGCCAGGATTGATTTTTTTTTTTTTTTTTTAGGGTTTTTGCCATAGGGTACATGCACTCAGCTGGAGAGGAGAGAACAGACAGGGACAGTGAGAGGGGAAGTGAGAAGTCACAGGGAGGACGGCTACTCCACAATTTCTTCTCCATTTTCCTTCTGGGATTTTGGGCACGCACGCACACGCCCGTGGCGTGTGTGATTTTCAAGCCACCAGATCTAGGACTCAAACCGTGGTCTGTGGTCTGCCATGTGGGAGTCCAGTGTTTTAACCACCATGTCACTTGCTGGCCCCCTTCCCAGATTGACTTTTTTTTTTTTCATTATTTAATTTAACTTTATTTATTTATTTTAAAAATTTGACCAGAGAGGGGACAGAGCAAGAAAGAGACACAAAAAGTGAGAAAGCAAGCCGCCAGGTTCAGGACTTGAACCGCAGTTGCCCATGTGGGAGTCCAGCACCCTTAACCACCACACCACCCGGCCCCCAGAATTGACTTTAAAGGTAGCCAAAGTGCTATTTCTCTCTTCCACTAACTTGGCCCCTTGCCTGTAATCACACCATTGGATGTTTTCCTCTTAGGCTTATAGGCTTTTTGCTCTGTAAGAGTCCCTCTACTTCATTTCTTTGTAAATGAAACATTTTATTTTTAAATAACTAAAAACTCATATGCATTCGTATGAAAAAATAAAGACGGGATCCCAGATATCCTTTGCCCAGTCTTCTCCAACGGTAACATCTCACAAAACTTTGGTACAGTGTCACAAGCATGAGTGTCCATCGTCACAAGGGCCCCTCATGGTCACACCCGCTTCCCTCTTGTCCTCACCCTCTTTGACCTCTGGCAACCACAAATCTGTTCTCCATTTTTTTTCATTTTTGTCAAGAAAGTTATAGAAATGGGCTCATCAGTATATAGGCTTTTTATTTAAAAACTTTAAATGAAATCAAGTCAGTGTTTGCATGATTATAGTTATATAACTACTGTTCACTGCTAAACAAAGAACTTTCTGTTTTGCATAAAGTTTTTGTTTAGCACATTTGTTTCTCGTACAATTTTAGTTTTCTCAGGTTAATAATTGCCTTTCAAAAAATAAAATCTTGGGGCCAGTAGTTGGCTTGATGGTTAAAGGCACTGGATTCCCACATGACCAACCATGGTTCAACTCCCCGACCTGGAG